TTGTATGTAAGTATACTTTATATGAATGTATTATTGTTAAATCAATCTAAAAAGTACAATTTGCGAAATTTATCATAATTTCGATTTTTTTTTTGTATTCTGTATAATTAATTTGATTTTATAAAAATTATAAAAAACAAATTGTTAAATGGAAATTTATGAAAAAAGTTTATTTTTTTTCAAAATAAAGAAATACATCAAGATTTAATTATAAAACTCACCTTGAAAATAATGAAACTGTACGAATTCACTTTCAATAGAATATTAAAAGTATTGAAATACAATTTTGAAATTAGCGAGTTTTTTCTTCTATACATATGGAGCATTACTTAACGTTATAACGATAGAGATTCAAATTGACAACATAACAGGACATAAAACTCTAAAGTCTGTAAAATCTTCTTTAAAAACATATAACCCGGAAAAGCCAGATTTCATGTATTCATTATAAAATGAAGACGTATTCTAATAATAACATATTGAATGTCGTTTGTCAAACGGAGATGAATTGAACATTTAAAATATTCTCATAAATTATTTATAAATCTTAGGAGTGATCATAAATTATTGCTGCAATATTTCTAACTAAAATGGAGTTAAGTCTAAAAATATTATTAAAATTTTGTAGTTACGTATGTCTATTGTATTAAATTTTTAAATCCATCCATTATTTGTCCGTCTTATTAAAAATATTTGTTCTCATCAAAAGTTATGTATTTAAAATGGGATACTAGTAAAACAAACTGTCCGTTCAATATACATACATAAGTATATAGAAATCTTTTATTCTATTTAAAAATTTTGCGAATAAGGTTGAATGAATATTTTCTTTTATAAATCATAAAATATTTTCAATGGAAATAATGAATGAGCCATCCTAATACAGGGACATCTTCAAGAATTTCAAAACAAGTTTCAGTGCTAGATAATTCAAACTTAACTACAATGAATTATTTTGCTATAACAACTTATAACTGTATATTTAAATAAATACGTAATCAAAAAACATTTATTAAATGTTCAAAGAAATGTTTGTGCAATTCTATTCAGATATCAGGTTTAAACTATTGTTTTTATGATAGCCGACTCATAGTGTGAGATTTTAGCATCTTAGGAGCAATGCTTTGGAAGCGTTAATTTTTAAACTCTCCTCCAGCAGCAAAAACTTACACTGAAAAGTTATGATTTGGAAGCAAGTACTTACTACGTTCGTTTACAAAAAACCACTTAAATAAGTACTTACAAATATACATACATTTCTTAAGTCTAGACCATAGATTAGCCTATAGACTAGACTATAGACTAAACTATAGACTAGACAATAAAATAGACAATAGACTAGACTGTAGACTAGACTGTAGATTAGACTAGACTAGACTAGACTAGACTAGACTAGACTACTACTATAGACTAGACTATAGACTAGACTATAGACTAGACTATAGACTAGACTATAGACTAGACTATAGACTAGACTATAGACTAGACTATAGACTAGACTATAGACTAGACTATAGACTAGACTATAGACTAGACTATAGACTAGACTATAGACTAGACTATAGACTAGACTATAGACTAGACTATAGACTAGACTATAGACTAGACTATAGACTAGACTATAGACTAGACTATAGACTAGACTATAGACTAGACTATAGACTAGACTATAGACTAGACTATAGACTAGACTATAGACTAGACTATAGACTAGACTATAGACTAGACTATAGACTAGACTATAGACTAGACTATAGACTAGACTATAGACTAGACTATAGACTAGACTATAGACTAGACTATAGACTAGACTATAGACTAGACTATAGACTAGACTATAGACTAGACTATAGACTAGACTATAGACTAGACTATAGACTAGACTATAGACTAGACTATAGACTAGACTATAGACTAGACTATAGACTAGACTATAGACTAGACTATAGACTAGACTATAGACTAGACTATAGACTAGATTATAGACTAGACTATAGACTAGACTATAGACTAGACTATAGACTAGACTATAGACTAGACTATAGACTAGACTATAGACTAGACTATAGACTAGACTATAGACTAGACTATAGACTAGACTATAGACTAGACTATAGACTAGACTATAGACTAGACTATAGACTAGACTATAGACTAGACTATAGACTAGACTATAGACTAGACTATAGACTAGACTATAGACTAGACTATAGACTAGACTATAGACTAGACTATAGACTAGACTATAGACTAGACTATAGACTAGACTATAGACTAGACTATAGACTAGACTATAGACTAGACTATAGACTAGACTATAGACTAGATAGACTAGACTATAGACTAGACTATAGACTAGACTATAGACTAGACTATAGACTAGACTATAGACTAGACTATAGACTAGACTATAGACTAGACTATAGACTAGACTATAGACTAGACTATAGACTAGACTATAGACTAGACTATAGACTAGACTATAGACTAGACTATAGACTAGACTATAGACTAGACTATAGACTAGACTATAGACTAGACTATAGACTAGACTATAGACTAGACTATAGACTAGACTATAGACTAGACTATAGACTAGACTATAGACTAGACTATAGACTAGACTATAGACTAGACTAGACTAGACTAGACTATAGACTAGACTATAGACTAGACTATAGACTAGACTATAGACTAGACTATAGACTAGACTATAGACTAGACTATAGACTAGACTATAGACTAGACTATAGACTAGACTATAGACTAGACTATAGACTAGACTATAGACTAGACTATAGACTAGACTATAGACTAGACTATAGACTAGACTATAGACTAGACTATAGACTAGACTATAGACTAGACTATAGACTAGACTATAGACTAGACTATAGACTAGACTATAGACTAGACTATAGACTAGACTATAGACTAGACTATAGACTAGACTATAGACTAGACTATAGACTAGACTATAGACTAGACTATAGACTAGACTATAGACTAGACTATAGACTAGACTATAGACTAGACTATAGACTAGACTATAGACTAGACTATAGACTAGACTATAGACTAGACTATAGACTAGACTATAGACTAGACTATAGACTAGACTATAGACTAGACTATAGACTAGACTATAGACTAGACTATAGACTAGACTATAGACTAGACTATAGACTAGACTATAGACTAGACTATAGACTAGACTATAGACTAGACTAGACTATAGACTAGACTAGACTAGACTAGACTAGACTAGACTAGACTAGACTAGACTAGACTAGACTAGACTAGACTAGACTATAGACTAGACTAGACTATAGACTAGACTATAGACTAGACTATAGACTAGACTATAGACTAGACTAGACTATAGACTAGACTAGACTAGACTAGACTAGACTATAGACTAGACTAGACTATAGACTAGACTAGACTATAGACTAGACTATAGACTAGACTATAGACTAGACTATAGACTAAACTATAGACTAGACTATAGACTAGACTATAGACTAGACTATAGACTAGACTAGACTAGACTAGACTATAGACTAGACTAGACTATAGACTATAGACTAGACTAGACTAGACTATAGACTAGACTAGACTATAGACTAGACTAGACTAGACTAGACTAGACTATAGACTAGACTATAGACTAGACTATAGACTAGACTATAGACTAGACTATAGACTAGACTAAGACTAGACTATAGACTAGACTATAGACTAGACTATAGACTAGACTATAGACTAGACTATAGACTAGACTATAGACTAGACTATAGACTAGACTATAGACTAGACTATAGACTAGACTATAGACTAGACTATAGACTAGACTATAGACTAGACTATAGACTAGACTATAGACTAGACTATAGACTAGACTATAGACTAGACTATAGACTAGACTATAGACTAGACTATAGACTAGACTATAGACTAGACTATAGACTAATAAATAGACTAGACTATAGACTAGACTATAGACTAGACTATAGACTAAGACTATTAGACTAGACTATAGACTAGACTATAGACTAGACTATAGACTAGACTATAGACTAGACTATAGACTAGACTATAGACTAGACTATAGACTAGACTTAGACTAGACTAGACTAGACTATAGACTAGACTATAGACTAGACTATAGACTAGACATAGACTAGACTATCTATAGACTAGACTATAGACTAGACTATAGACTATAGACTAGTCCTATAGACTAGACTATACGAGACTATAGACTAGACTATAGACTAGACTATAGACTAGACTATAGACTAGACTATAGACTAGTCTATAGACTAGACTATAGACTAGACTATAGACTAGAATATTATGTGGACAATTTATCAAAGTTAGAAAAAGTACGAAAGTGTAGTGGTAGTGGTACCACGGTATATCAAAAAGTACTTGAATTTTCCATGCCTGTTGTACTGTGTAGAACAAGTGGTGAATTTTATAAAATCACTTGAGAGCCGGCAATTGAATTTAAATCGTTTACCAACACTCAGTCAACAAAAAGGCCAAAACAAATCAACGTGGCTTTTTTCCACAACACACAATTACCTTCCCTCAACAAGTAGCGGCTGAAACATAAAACACAAAAGCAACTAGTAGCACACCAAAAGAAATACACAACATCAAACATGTTGTAGATGGAAATAAAGCAACTGAAATTAAAATGAGCCATCAAACATGGATACAAAATGCATCTCAAACATCAAACTCAAAATAATAAGAGTGTGCAAAGGAAAACTGAAGCAACACAGATACAAAATAAACACACACATCTACACGCACTTACGTACACTCACAAACAGACTAAGCCAACATGGAGGCATGTTGACACATAGATACTCGCTCACATAAACACATATTAGCGAACATTTACTGACAAAAGACAACAACAACAATAGAAAAATAACAAACACAGGTCAGTAATATAAACAGCCAACAACAGCCTCAGTCGCTCTCCGAGCGTTAACGTGGACGGTCTTTGAAAACGGAAACTCTCTATAAAAAAATTTTAACAAACATTTTCGAATTTTATTGGTTTAATAAATCCAAGACGGTGAACTACTACTGAGTGAAACGTTTATTCAGCAGAAAATTTAAAAAAAAACACATAATAGTGTCACAAACCTGTATTGAAAACGACAAAAAAACAAATAAATATTGTCAAGAAAATAATAAAAAAAATATTTGCACATAGAAAAGTATTGAAAGAAAATTAAAAAAAATTGAATTCAAAAACTAAAAAGGAAGTTTTAAAGAAAGTGGCCAGTAGCTAACTGTGGTCAAGTGGAGACAACAATACGGACGCATTTCTGTTATTTTTTACATTTTGTTTTAAATTTATTGCTTTTTTGGTCCAACAACTTAAAGTGAACAACAACGAATTAGAAAAAGAAAGCGGCCACAGAAATTGTATTGTTGTTTTAGATAAAAAGGAATACAAAAACCTACGAGAAAAGTAAGAATTTTTTTAAATAAAACAAAAATATTTTAAATTATACAGAAACAAGTGTTTGAAGATAGAAATTATTCAAACAGGTATTAAAATTTTACTTAAAATACAAATGTATCTTTGTGCATCTGTGTTAATGTATTGGTATTAACGTGCTGTTGCTTGTGAGTGTGTTAAGAATTCCTTAATTTTTTTTTTTTGGTTTAACAAAAAATAAATATGTACAAAAATATATCCCAAAGTAAATAAAGAGAAAAAGTGTATGCTCACAAGAGTCTGCTGGTGTTGTTTTTTACATCACATTTCTTCTCCAGTATTCTTAAAGGATCAAAAGGATAATGCCTTTCTCAAATACAAAAACAAACAAACAAACCAACCAAATAACAAACAAAACAACAACTCAAAACTTTAAGGAAGGAAATGATTTGTAAACAAGTTTTAATGTCTTTTTACTCTCCATCTTTTACACAACAACAACAACAAAAACTACAACTGCAGCAAAAACTTCACGAACTAAAACTTATTTATCAAAGAATATACAAAAAAGAAATATTTTATAAGAAAAAATTTTTTATATAAAATAATAAAAAATTATTTCAAATGAGGTTACCAACCATATAAACTGTAGTGCATGTACACAAGTATTGTAGACAAATTACACTTGATACTGGATTTACGTGGATTTTTTTAAGGATATGCTTAACTGTGAGGGTGATTATAAAAATGAAATTTTGTGTTATGTTTTAAAATAGTGCCTATGGACTCTATAACAAATTATATTGAAATTCACAAAAGTTACTAAAGTTTTCAAATACATACAACTTACAACCAATACCACTAACATCATAGCTAAGAACATCTGTGGCATATATAGTGCTAACAAAAGGCAGACGTAGATTATAAGCTAAGATTTTCAATAGCTGGTAGGAAACTGAGGCCTTCTCCAAAATTCTTTTATAAAAGGTGATCTACGAGAAAGGGACAAGTTTCCTCTAGAAAAAAGAATAGATTTTTACAGAAAATTTCTCTTGTCAAGAGACTTGTTTTCTATAGAAAATTTCTCTTGTCAAGAGACTAGTTTTCTATAGAAAATTTCTCTTGTCAAGAGACTAGTTTTCTATAGAAAATTTCTCTTGTCAAGAGACTAGTTTTCTATAGAAAATTTCTCTTGTCAAGAGACTAGTTTTCTATAGAAAATTTCTCTTGTCAAGAGACTAGTTTTCTATAGAAAATTTCTCTTGTCAAGAGACTAGTTTTCTATAGAAAATTTCTCTTGTCAAGAGACTAGTTTTCTATAGAAAATTTCTCTTGTCAAGAGACTAGTTTTCTATAGAAAATTTCTCTTGTCAAGAGACTAGTTTTCTATAGAAAATTTCTCTTGTCAAGAGACTAGTTTTCTATAGAAAATTTCTCTTGTCAAGAGACTAGTTTTCTATAGAAAATTTCTCTTGTCAAGAGACTAGTTTTCTATAGAAAATTTCTCTTGTCAAGAGACTAGTTTTCTATAGAAAATTTCTCTTGTCAAGAGACTAGTTTTCTATAGAAAATTTCTCTTGTCAAGAGACTAGTTTCTATAGAAATTCTCTTGTCAAGAGACTAGTTTCTATAGAAAATTTCTCTTGTCAAGAGACTAGTTTTCTATAGAAAATTTCTCTTGTCAAGAGACTAGTTTTCTATAGAAAATTTCTCTTGTCAAGAGACTAGTTTTCTATAGAAAATTTCTCTTGTCAAGAGACTAGTTTTCTATAGAAAATTTCTCTTGTCAAGAGACTAGTTTTCTATAGAAAATTTCTCTTGTCAAGAGACTAGTTTTCTATAGAAAATTTCTCTTGTCAAGAGACTAGTTTTCTATAGAAAATTTCTCTTGTCAAGAGACTAGTTTTCTATAGAAAATTTCTCTTGTCAAGAGACTAGTTTTCTATAGAAAATTTCTCTTGTCAAGAGACTAGTTTTCTTTTGAAAAGAGATTGGTTTAGTACAGAAGATATATCGTGAAAAGAGACTGGTTTTCTATAGAAATTTATTTTAAAAAGAGAGTAGTTTTCTATAGAAACTCTCTCTTAAAAAGAGGTTAGATTGTTACAGCAAATTTCTCTTGTAAAGAGGCTAGCTTTTTATAGAAACATTGTCTTGCAAAGTAACCAGTTTTCTATATAAAATTTATCTTGAAAGGAGACTAGTTTTCTATGGAAAATTTCCACTTCACTTAATACCGCCCTTCGAGTCTGTTGTGTCAACTATACAAATATATATATTTTTAGTGCAAAATATTATAGTTTGGTGAAAGTTTTTTTTTTTGCTTCTTTACTTTTTCAACGACTTTACCACCACTTTTTCCATGTTTGTATTTGCGAACATTTTAAATAAAGAAAAAAAAATTATAATAGAAGACAACAAAAAAAACACGACTTCAGCAAACAAATAAATATGAGCAAAAAAACTGATTATAGTTGGTAGTAAGAAAAATAACCCGCTATCAAACTTTGTTTTCTTTCTTACGTTCAAGAGATAAACCATTAAGATGAAGAAAAAAAAATTAAATAAAAAACCTTTGGCTAAAATGCTGTTGTAGTAGAGAAGAAGGTCTATTATTTGACTTGGCTTTTAAATTTTTTTTTTGTTCGTTCATTATAGTTTTTTGTCTTTTAGTTTCATCGTCTCACAGTTTGAAAGTAGTTGTTCTTGATGCTGTTGTTTGTTTGAGTGTGAGTGCCGCTGTTAAAGAAATCTAGAGTTAAAGATAAAATTAAGTTCAGAAAAAAAAAATCATGTTTTTGTTAAAAAAGAATATTTTTATATGTTAATTGCTAGAGAATTCTCTTTTAATTTGACTTAAAGAATGAGCAGAAGAATATTATAGGTTTAAGGTGGTCAGATGTGAAGAAGAAATCTAGAAATGATTTCTAGAACTTCTATGTCATACTGTTGTTGAAGTAGAAATCTTAAATTATCAACTCAACTCTTTGTATAAATAAGAATTACTACAAACGTTTATGCAACTTAGATTCTTTATACTAAAATAAAATCTCTGGTCACCTTATTGGTATTACCCACATTTAAAATGTATTTATTAAAAACCTGTATTGTCTTTTGTTTTATAATCAAAGAGCTCTTGTCTTAATCATCTACTAAAGCTGATTGAATTCTGAATAAAGAAAAAACTACGAATTCAATATAAAACTGTAATTCAAACAAAATAATTACTCGTAAATTATAATTAAATATTATTGAAATAAAAAAACATTTAAAAATACAAACACTTAGTCAAACTATGTAAAACAAATCACTTAAATTGTTCTACAATTTCTGCAATTCTAAACCAATTCACGTTTTAGATTCTTTACCGGTTGGTCATTTCCTAGAATTGAAATAAAAGTGGTTTTGAAATTAAACTGAATGCGCAATTTGATTTTGTGATTTTGCTTTTTTTCTCAACTTTATTTAAAAAGTCATACAATCCGTTTATTAAAATTTATAACAAAGAGTTAAGTAATTATGTATTTAACAGGCACAAATATTTAATTTATAAACAATTATCTTAAATAAAAATAATAAAATCTTGGAATTTCACAAAATCTGTTAAACAAAATGCAATTTTTTAACAAAAGATAAACGTTGATCTTAATTATAATTTTAAAATTAACAATTTATCACGCAGAAAGAAACAGACATATTAAATGTGGTTTTTACCTGTCTAATTTTAAAAATGCAAATAAATTTAAATTATTTATTAAAAAAAAGTAAATTTGTATAATATTTAAAAAACAGTTTTTTTCTGTTTGATTCTGAGTCATGCCATAATTTAATTACGCTTTAAAATTTAGAAAGATCTCAAATTGAACATTTTTTCAAAAGAAGATTTACTGCAAAAAGAGACTAGATTTCTATAGAAAATTTCTCTTACATAGAGTCTAGTATTCTATACAAAATTTATCTTGCAAGTTTTCTAAAGAAAATTTTTCTCGCAACGAGATTAATTTTTCTAGTTTTCAATAGAAAATTCTTTTTACAATGAAACAAAGAGACTTATTTTCTATAGAAAATTTCTCTTGCAAAGAGACTTATTTTCTATAGAAAATTTCTCTTGCAAAGAGACTTATTTTCTATAGAAAATTTCTCTTGCAAAGAGACTTATTTTCTATAGAAAATTTCTCTTGCAAAGAGACTTATTTTCTATAGAAAATTTCTCTTGCAAAGAGACTTATTTTCTATAGAAAATTTCTCTTGCAAAGAGACTTATTTTCTAAAGAAAATTTCTCTTGCAAAGAGACTTATTTTCTAAAGAAAATTTCAATCTTGTAAAGAGACTTATTTTCTAAAGAAAATTTCTCTTGCCAAGACACTAGTTTTCTACAGAAAATTTCTCTTGTCAAGACACTAGTTTTCTATAGAAAAATTCTCTTGTCCAGAGATAAGTTTTCTATAGAAAATTTCTCTTGCCAAGACACTAGTTTTCTACAAAAAATTTCTCTTGTCAAGACACAAGTTTTCTATAGAAAAATTCTCTTGTCCAGAGATAAGTTTTATATAGATAATTTCTCTTGTCAAGAGATTAGTTTTCTATAAAAAATTTCTTTTGTTAAGAGACTAGTTATCTATAGAAAATTTCTCTTGCAAAGAGACTAGATTTCTATGGAAAATTTCTCTTGCAAAGAGACCAGTTATCTATAGAAAAATTCTCTTGCAAAAAAAATAATTTTCTATAGAAAATTTTTATTGAAAAGGAGCTAGTTCTCCATAGCAAAGGTACTAATTTTTTATAGAAAATTTCTCTTGCAAAGAGACTAATTTTCTATAGAAAATTCTCTTGCAAAGAGACCAATTTTCTATAGAAAATTTCTCTTGCAAAGAGACCAGTTTTCTATAGAAAATTTCTCTTGCAAAGAGACCAGTTTTTTATAGAAAATTTCTCTTGCAAAGAGACCAGTTTTCTATAGAAAATTTCTCTTGCAAAGAGACTAATTTTCTATAGAAAATTTCTCTTGCAAAGAGACTAATTTTCTATAGAAAATTTCTCTTGCAAAGAGACTAATTTTCTATAGAAAATTTCTCTTGCAAAGAGACTAATTTTCTATAGAAAATTTCT